GTGAGTGCACTATCTGAGCTGCCGCTTGGGCAGGGTCTTAGTTGGGGTCTTAAGGTTACTTTTAACGTAAGGGGCACACGTGTCCAGATTTGCCTGGACGCTGCCTTTAAGCTGGACAAAGTTGTGAGATATTCTTGTACTGATGGTGCAGTATTTTGTGAAAGTTTATTTTTGAGGAAGCTTGGTAACGAATGTGTAGTGGATCCTGATGGTAATGTGGAATGGGACATCGCTTTTGTTGTAATGTGAGTGAGAAATGAATGCCTTAAATGGAAATGGAAAAGTGAAGGTCACCTTGGGAAGGTGCTCAAGGTGCAAATTGGGGCGCGTACTTTATACTTAAACCGACAATCATAGCTGCGGGCGCATTGCTTGCGATTCCTAAAGTCTTGGAAGCAACATGAGAAGTGTAAGGAAGAGCGAGTTTAGAACTCTTCCGAAAATTGTCGTTGTTGTTCAAAATCCGGTATTTAGGTGCTAGTCAGCAATCGGGTATATCCGGATCCCACAACCATAGTCAGCATCAGCAAGGAGCAGTGATGGGACAAGGTGTCCAAGCTCGTCGTGGAGTTTCTCAGCGTGGTGGACCGCCTCCGGCCGATGCTACTGCAACAATGCAAAATGCACCGCACATGCGCCTTTCCCCACAGCAGGTTCAGTTTTTTTCTGCACTGAGACATTTAGTACAAAGTTTACAAATAACTGTCTCAGGAACTACCTCTTCGTATCGTAATCGACTCAAAGCATGTGGGAGCGATCATCGGTACTGGCGGAAATAATGTGAGAGAAATTACGAAGGAGTCTAAAGCGCGGGTCGTAGTGGATGTTCAGCGTACAGTCAAGGATCAGCAAGGACATAGCGAGAAGGTAGGCAGAGTCTGTTGTTCTTGTTCCGTAATATGACTTATTTTTTAGATCATATCCATACTTGGACATCTTGAAAACTGCTCGAAAGCTTGCGTCAAAATTTTAGAAGTTGTACAACGCGAAAACGAGAAAGATGAAACCAAGGAGTAGGACATTCTTTGCAGAACAATCATGATTTATAGTGATGTTCCTTGTGTTCAGTAATAGTGAGGTCGAACTCAAAATCAGAGCTCATAATCAGCTTGTGGGACGCCTTATTGGAAAGCAGGGAGCAACTATCAAGAAAATAATGCAAGACACAGGAACTACGATTTTTGTTTCAAAGTTAGTTTCCTTTGAAACCATTTTTTGATTGCTCGTCATATTCGGCGAGGCATATCTGATCTGGCATGAAGAAAGTGTTGTAGGAATTTTCGTACTGTTGATAAAATTGCATAAAGGCAGTGTCCGGGCAAAATTTCGAACAATGTTTTTTT